CTTTTGGGCATCCCCCCTAAGTCCTGAGTCCAAAACAAGCGAAAAACACAAAAATTCCAGTGTGTGCGTATGTGTTAGCATCTACATACTAGACATACTAGCTTAAAGGGGATGAAGACCAGGGCCACTCGTAGGTATTGCCTGGTTTGAAATGGATTGAGAGGGAAAGGATTAATTAAGGGAAGAGACGAAGGGGAAAAGTAAAGTGAGATAGGAAAGGGGATGAAAGTGGGAGTTACATGTTTAGCACTACAGCGGCTAATTTAAAGCGAGTCTTTTAGCAACGCAGCTGCATTAGATACTTTCAGCATTAGCGTAAATTTACTTAAAAAATTGAAGGCACTTCATTTAAAAGATAGTCTATATTTTTGGGACCCATTCGGTCCCGAAATTATAGACTATCTTTTAAATAAAAAACACAAAAATGTCAATAGTAAATAATGTTTACAAGAAAATGTATTTTGCACATTTAATAAAAAATTTTAATTGTATTTTTTTTCAAATTTTAATGAAGTAATGACTTTTTAGACGCTTTTATATTACTATAAAAGCGTCTAAATTATGCATCTAAAGTCTTCAATTCAATTTAGATGCTTAATTAATGGTTATAATTTCATCATGGCTCATACATAATTTTTTCCTGATAGCTAATAACTTTTTATTAACATTTATAATAAAAATATGCAAAGTTAACGTGTTATTTAATAAATACAAATCGTATAAATTAAAGAGAATAAACTCTAATTTTTATTTATTTTAATAAAGAATTTATATAGAAAAATATAAACAAAATAATTAGAAGATAAGCATCATTTATTTCTTGGAGTCACAATTATTGTATTTAGGAATTATGATAAATTAAAAAATTAAAAAAGTTTTATGAATCTTTTTATTTTATGAGGAGAAACTATAAAAGTGAGGCAACTTTTGGGATGAATAAATATTGCAAATAGTTTTCTATTAAATCTGCGTTGGTGTTTGTTAAAGTGATTTAGAACGAATACGTTTATTATAGATATAAAATCATTGTTTGAACAGTTGTTTGAAATACTCGGTATAGCTTGATTTATTAGATAAAAGATTATGTTTAATTTCACATTTGAAGGTTATATCTGAGAAGAGAGCAGATAAGATATCGAGGTTAGCCATAATGAAGTTTTGGTCGATGATTTTCTTTATCTACATTCATTTCTTTTCGATTCTGATTGAAGGTTGGTTATTTTAATTTTTATCTTTCTATTAATTAGTAATTTGTCAAATTAGAAATCCTAACGTTAAGAGATTAAAGATAAATAATCGATATAAGCTTAAACGTTACAATTAAAAAGTTGAATGCCAGAAGTAATAACAAAACGATTAAAAAACGGTGATACTTATACGAGTATTTAATTGTCTAATAGCCGTTTTCAATCGTTTTATTATTATTTCTGCTTATCATATCCGGTTATTGTAATCGTGGATATTGTTATCAGTCGTAGGTCAGTCGTACGGTTTTCATTCGTAGTCACTACTTTTTATATTTTTGATTCGTTTTGCCTTTCGGGCACAAAGAGGGCCTTTTTCCATATCCATCGTAAGTTCGGCCAGGCCTACAATGATGACGATCAGTTGGTGAGAGACGAAACCTGATATATTTGGGATAAACCGCCCGTGAACAATTCTTTGAGTTGCTCGCCCGAATTCTATCTTGGGTTACACAGGGTCTTAACTACCTCGGCTCCGGCAGTCAGACAAATAGTATTATTTCTAACTTGCTACATACTATTATACACATTATTAATATATAGTCTATCATCTATCACAATTGTTTCTATAATTTGTGTGGGTGAGGTTGGGGAGAGGGTGAGACCAATATTAAAAAGCCTAGAGGCCTGGTTGTAGTTTAATCCGACTGGGCTGATGAAAGGACCAGATCTGTTTTCCTTTCTTCGGCTTAGGTATCGATTTTTTCAGCTATTCACTAGAAAGTTTTGAGCTTTTCATTTTGCAAATATATATATTTTTTTAATTTTATAAAGATAATTCTTGAAAAATATATATTTAAACTGTTTCGAAAGAAAATATTTATTTAAATTTATTTAGTTTTTACAGGTTCTATTTTGAGAGAGCACGATTCAAATAAGAACTTACGAATTGATTCGCTACCAAGACAGAAAAGAGACTGTAATTCGCCACAGAAGATTGTCTACATGCCTCCGGTTAGAGTGAGAAAAAATTATATGTCACCTGTTGCGCCGCCAAAAAATTATATGCAACCGGTAAATGCTAGGCCTAGAGTAACAAGTAATCAACCAACAAAACGGATTATTGTAGTAAAGAATAGTGAAAAAGACAAAATACCTTGTCCTCAGGACATTTCACATGTATCGAATAATGAGTATACTCGACCTATTGCTATTACACCACCAATTTCATATACAGAACAAACTACTCTCTCTCAGGTACGGCCAGTTGTTTATCTTCAGGAAACTGTTCCATATAGGCCTACATTCTTGTCACCGGATCGTGTTTTCACTACATCATCATCAGTTCCTGTTAGTTCTGCAAATCTAGATACATCTTCGATTCCTCTTAATACTGCACAATATTATTTTGTTTCAGAAAGATTTCAGTCTCCACAACCATCAGTTCCTGTTAGTTCTGCAAATCAAGGTATATCATTGATTCCTCCTAATACTGCACCATATTATTTTGTTTCAGAAAGAATTCCGTCTCCACAACTAACAAATGGGTATATGGAAAGTATGTGGCAACCTGCAAGAAAGCCTATAACTGTAGTACAGCCACCAGCTACTAAATAAACTGCATACTATTGATTTTCTTCATATATCAAAAATGTTTTAATTAATTAAATCACATGAAATTTTTGTCAAAAAATTGTATTTCAGGACATGGTGTATATAAATAAATATTATAGTAATTATAAAACAATATCAGTTATTATTTAATTCAAAACATTAATTATTAAACATTTTAAATAGTAGTAGTTTTAGACTAGGGTTTCTCTAACAGGATCCCGGAATCCCGACTGTTTTTTAACCGGGAAATATCCCGGGAAATCCCGAATATTTCTTAAAAATTCACTTTTTTCTTATTTTGTGTTAAGTTGAGAAAATTTTGCAAATAAAAACTATAATTAACTCACAAACTGTCAGAATACATGCATTTATTAATTTTAAGCCTGCACATTAGTTTTTTTTTAATTTTTGCTTGTTATGGCCTGATACAGATTGTTAATAATCAATATGTAGCCTATTTGTGGCAGGATTCTGAAAATTCTTTACGTGTCAGAACTTGTAATATCTTGGATAATTGTGCCGATGCTGTCTTAATTTAACCATACCCAGTAGCTTTAATAATAATTTGCCAGATTGTGGAAATTGGACAAGGATACAAACGAGTACGATGTATGCAAAGTATGAAGTTTTCTTCATAAACCTGATTATTAAAGCCAAAAGAACTGCCGAATTATCGGGCTATAAGTTTGATACCTCTACTAAAGCAGCCAAGGTAGACAAATCAAGAATATTCGCTTCAAAAGAAGTCAACACATCTCGAAAACGAACAAGAAATCTTCGAGGCTACAGGATGAAAAAACACATAACATCTGTCTTCTCTTAAATCAGTGTTTCTCAACGGGGGCGATATCAACATGGAATTGTTACTAATCGTCCCCTCAACATGGAAAAACGCCCACATGGGGGCTTTTTTCCATGTTGAGGAAACGATTAGTAACAATTTATGTTTTTGGGGGCGAAAAACAATTTTCCGGGCGATATAGTAAAACATTATATTAAGAATAATTAGATATTTTATTCGTTATATCGTACAATAATTAAACAAATAACATTATACTAGTCACTAGTCTATTCAATGCAGTACGAATTTGGCGTTAGCCTTGGCCCTCGGCATCGGAATTTTGAAGNTGGTTGTAGTTTAATCCGACTGGGCTGATGAAAAGACCAGATCTGTTTTCCTTTCTTCGGCTTAGGTATCGATTTTTTCAGCTATTCACTAGAAAGTTTTGAGCTTTTCATTTTGCAAATATATATATATTTTTAATTTTATAAAGATAATTCTTGAAAAATATATATTTAAACTGTTTCGAAAGAAAATATTTATTTAAATTTATTTAGTTTTTACAGGCTCTATTTTGAGAGAGCACGATTCAAATAAGAACTTACGAATTGATTCGCCACCAAGACAGAAAAGAGACTGTAATTCGCCACAGAAGATTGTCTACATGCCTCCGGTTAGAGTGAGAAAAAATTATATGTCACCTGTTGCGCCGCCAAAAAATTATATGCAACCGGTAAATGCTAGGCCTAGAGTAACAAGTAATCAACCAACAAAACGGATTATTGTAGTAAAGAATAGTGAAAAAGACAAAAAACCTTGTCCTCAGGACATTTCATATGTATCGAATAATGAGTATACTCGACCTGTTGCTATTACACCACCAATTTCATATACAGAACAAACTACTCTCTCTCAGGTACGGCCAGTTGTTTATCTTCAGGAAACGCAAACTGTTCCATATAGGCCTACATTCTTGTCACCGGATCGTGTTTTCACTACATCATCATCAGTTCCTGTTAGTTCTGCTAATCTAGATACATCTTCGATTCCTCTTAATACTGCACAATATTATTTTGTTTCAGAAAGATTTCAGTCTCCACAACCACCAGTTCCTGTTAGTTCTGCTAATCAAGTATATCATTGATTCCTCCTAATACTGCACCATATTATTTTGTTTCAGAAAGAATTCCGTCTCCACAACTAACAAATGGGTATACGGAAAGTATGTGGCAACCTGCAAGAAAGCCTATAACTGTAGTACAGCCACCAGCTACTAAATAAACTGCATACTATTGATTTTCTTCATATATCAAAAATGTTTTAATTAATTAAATCACATGAAATTTTTGTCAAAAAATTGTATTTCAGGACATGGTGTATATAAATAAATATTATAGTAATTATAAAACAATATCAGTTATTATTTAATTCAAAACATTAATTATTAAACATTTTAAATAGTAGTAGTTTTAGACTAGGGTTTCTCTAACAGGATCCCGGAATCCCGACTGTTTTTTAACCGGGAAATATCCCGGGAAATCCCGAATATTTCTTAAAAATTCACTTTTTTCTTATTTTGTGTTAAGTTGAGAAAATTTTGCAAATAAAAACTATAATTAACTCACAAACTGTCAGAATACATGCATTTATTAATTTTAAGCCTGCACATTAGTTTTTTTTTAATTTTTGCTTGTTATGGCCTGATACAGATTGTTAATAATCAATATGTAGCCTATTTGTGGCAGGATTCTGAAAATTCTTTACGTGTCAGAACTTGTAATATCTTGGATAATTGTGCCGATGCTGTCTTAATTTAACCATACCCAGTAGCTTTAATAATAATTTGCCAGATTGTGGAAATTGGACAAGGATACAAACGAGTACGATGTATGCAAAGTATGAAGTTTTCTTCATAAACCTGATTATTAAAGCCAAAAGAACTGCCGAATTATCGGGCTATAAGTTTGATACCTCTACTAAAGCAGCCAAGGTAGACAAATCAAGAATATTCGCTTCAAAAGAAGTCAACACATCTCGAAAACGAACAAGAAATCTTCGAGGCTACAGGATGAAAAAACACATAACATCTGTCTTCTCTTAAATCAGTGTTTCTCAACGGGTGCGATATCAACATGGAATTGTTACTAATCGTCCCCTCAACATGGAAAAACGCCCACATGGGGGCTTTTTTCCATGTTGAGGAAACGATTAGTAACAATTTATGTTTTTGGGGGCGAAAAACAATTTTCCGGGCGATATAGTAAAACATTATATTAAGAATAATTAGATATTTTATTCGTTATATCGTACAATAATTAAACAAATAACATTATACTAGTCACAAGTCTATTCAATGTAGTACGAATTTGGCGTTAGCCTTGGCCCTCGGTATCGGAATTTTAAAGTGAAGGGGCAATACTACATAACGGTTTTATTGAAGGGATGACGATTCGTTAGAGGTTGAGAAACACTGTCTTAAATGCACTAGAGATACTTCTACCCACATCAATTGAATCGGAAAGGGCATTCTCGGTAGCGGAACTTTTCACTACTAAAATAAGAACCAGATTGGGTGATTGGAGTATTGATCATCTTTGCTTTTTAAAATATTATTATAAAAATTCACAATAATATTTTATATTGTGTTTTATTTAAAAAATTAAAATTACCTTTTCTTTGAAGTTAATTTAAAAGTTTGATCTAAGTTAATTTTTTTTTTAATTTTCAACTCAGTTTAAAGGCATTTTTTCTTTTCTTTTTTTTGTTGTAAGCAATTTCTATCAAACTTTAATAATTTTTTTTCTATTTATGAAATTTCTACGTAATTCAACGATAATTTTTAATACATATTTTACACAGCATTATTATTATTATTCTTGCAGGACGTATTAAATTACTTAAAAAACGAAAAATAATTATATTATTTGATTTCAAGATTTATTTTATATCTTAAAAATAATTAATTATATCCTGGGAAACAGATCACTGTTTTCTCGAAATTCCGGGACAAGCAAAGAACAGGGAAATGAGAAACCCTATTTCAGACTTACAATACGACAGGGTTATATTTCAGGACTCCCGTTGTCAAACATAAATAATGGTAATAACGATATATGGTTTCAAAGAACAAGCACGAGCTTATATAATATTATATTGTGTGTACACTGTTTGGAGGTAATTATGTGGACATCCGAAATAAACAAAACGTAGAATATCATTTGCCATTACACTTATGGTATACAGATATGCGTCAAAACATCCAGAAAGCATTTCCAATCCAACATTATATCTAGAAATGCTGAACTATCTGAGTACAAACAGAATCAAATTATTGGATGTCACTTATGTCACTGCTTTGTGCGCACCATAGACTTGAAGCTAGAACTACGTAAATCCACTATAATCAATATTAAACTGCTGAGAAGAGTGAAAGAGTTTTAGAACGGAAAACTACAAAGAAGTACTTAGGAATACTGAAAACAATAATAGAGAGAGATCGAAGAGTGCTTTGACGAGTGATGAGAAGCAACAACATGCAGGAGACGGAAAGAACAATCCGAGAATTTAATGTCACAACCAAACATCCGTTCTGAGCTGCATGACACGGGTTATACTGGCAGGTCTGCTGATCCTAAGGCAAAAATAACAGCTGAAGACAATGTTGAATAGTCTATTGTCTTCAATCGACACTTGAAATGTGCAATACCATAATGTCGTAAATGCCAAAAAACAAACTTTTCAGGAGAGATGAAAAAGCTTTTTCTAGTAAATGAATTCATTTAAATTTTACAATAAAATTGTAAAAAATTCACTAAATTACAAATTCTCTGAAATATCAAAATGATTTAAATATAAACCGTAACGTTTTAGACTCCAGAAGTCATGCACTTTGCATTCTGGTACTTTTCAAAAGTCATAACTTCCTACAGTCCAACATTTCTTGCAGCAAAAAACATTGCTTTTAGAACTCAATTCTTCAATGAAACGTATTCAGAGAAAAATGGCATTTACAACATTATGGCATTGCACATTTCACTTCATTCTGGTTTTTTAAAAAAGTCTACAAAGAACGTAAGTACGATTTCAAAAAACGAAAGCAATCGCGTATACTAAACGTCGACTCCAATATTGCACCAGCCATCATACAGGTAGCTGGCCAAAGGAGATTTGAGACATGTTCTGTAGAGGTGTGAGTCTCGATTTTTTGTTTGCCGGTTAGATTATCGTGTTTGAGTATGCTGAAAGAACAACTACTGACGGAATACATTGCACCAACAGTGAAATTTGATAATGGTAGCTTAATAGTATTGAG